GTAAACACATGAAAAGATGGTCAACATCATTAGTCATTAGGAAAATGCAAATTGGGGTATTTTTTTTCGGGGTGGGGGCTGGGTATTGAACCCAGGGCCTTGTGCATGTGAGCTGAGCTATATCCCTATTCCCGGAAAATGCAAATTGAAACCACAGTGAGACACCACTTCACAACCATTAAGAAAATATATACTGTAGGTACTTGATGGGTTATAAAATTCCCAAACTCTGCCATTTAATATCTGTTTAAGAGTTCAGTTAAGGGAAATGAAATCTCCGACTAAGATGGACTAAAGATATTAAAAGACAGTAATGTGTTTGGTATACCTGGTCCCTACTAACTAAATTCATACATGTATCTAGGCTCTCCACATTACATGCTTGAAAAGGAAGAGAACTATAAATGTTAGAATGTGGTTTCGTCTGTCAAAAAAATTTTTATTAACATGAATTTTTGGTGATATATTCAATCTACATCTTAAGAAAAAACTGATAAATTTTTGTTATACTTCTTTAGGAAGACTGTGTAGGGGTTGCCCCATGTTTTCTCAGATCTTGTCATTAGAGTGGGATATTTCTTCATTGTATAAGCTAAGGATCAGCAGACTATGACCCCACAAACCCAATATTATCTGCAACCTCTTTTTGCCTGAGTGATTTTTTTGTTGTTGTTGTTTTAAAATAGTTGGAAGGAAAAAAAAAATCAAATAATATTTTGCAATATATGAAAATGATAAGAAATCCAGATTTCAGTGTCTATAAAATATTTACAGGAACACTGGTATGCTTGATTTAATGTGCTGTCTGTAGCTGCTTTTCCATTACAACAGCAGAATTGAGTTATTACCGCAGAGCCCCTGTAACCTGCAAAGACTAAAAATTTTTTAAATGTATTTTTTAGTTTTAGTTTTAGGTAGACAAGATGGCTTTATTTATTTTTTTATGTGGTGCTGAGAATTGAACCCAGTGCCTCACATGTGCTAGGCAAACACTCTACCACTGAACCTGAACCCCAGCCCCCTAAAATACTATCTTACTCTTTGACAGAAAACATTTGTTGACCAAGAGTGTATGTTGTTGGAACCCTTTTGTTTAGTAAAAAACTAAATGACTAAATGACTGTAATATTTCCTAGTAATAATGAAGGAAAGCTCAACCAGGTTTACAAATGGCCCTATGTTCAAGGGGATTAATGGGGCGGGTAGTGGGGTAGTACTTCTCTTAGTTGAGAACCACCACATATTGTAGGGTGTCTCCTTTGTTAATATTTATTCCTATAAATAAGAAGTTTCTTTTAGGTTTATTCATTTAGATTTTTTTTTTCTGTATGTAAATCTAATAACAGTATTTCCTTTGATTGAGGCTTCTGGAAAAAGGGCCATCTATTTGGAAACAGCCTGTCTAATAGCCTGTAGTAGCTATACAGAAATTTACATGATCTTCCTTTATAAATGAGTGTTATCTTGATTGCAGTTTATTTAAATTCTTTTTGGAATAAAATTTAATTAAATAATAAATATTAACTGAATGAACATCCTTAGTGAAGATTCTATGATCAGAAAATTTCAGTTGCAAATACTGTTTCCATTTATTTCTCTATTTTTTTATTTTTATTTTTTGTAGTTGTAGATGGACAGAATGCCTTTATTTAATTTATTTTTATGTGGTGCTGAGGATCAAACCCAGTGCCTCACACATGGTAGTCAAGCGCCCTGCCACTGAGCTATAGCCCAGTGCCAACTGTTCCCATTTCATTTGAATACAGATCAGTGATTATTAAAAGCTAGGTTCTTTACTAAGTACTTTACTTGATCTATCTCATTTAAGTCTAAAATGGCCTCATAAATTGGATACAGCAGCACTTGTCTATAATCCCAATGACATGTAGGGCTGAGCAGGAGGGTCACAAGTTGGAGCCAGCCCTAGCAACTTATCAAGATTCTGTCTCAAAAATAAAAAGGGCTGAGGATAAAGCCCCTGGCTTCAACCCCCAGTACAAAAAAGAAAAAAAGCCGCATAAAATAGATACTGCTGTTCCTAATATTTTATAGATGCAGAAGCTTGAGTTTTATATTAAGAAACTTGCCCAAAGTATTCCATATAGTAAGTGCTAGAGCTAGATTTAATCCTAGGTAGTATAAACTTGAGTAATGAAATTCCTAACAGTCCATTATGCTAGTTTTTTTTTTTTTTAAATATGTTTTTAGTTATAGATGAACACACAGTATCCTTATTTGTTTTTATGTGGTGCTGAGGATTGAATCCAGTGCCTCACATATGTGAGACAAGTGCTTTACCACTGAACTACAGTCCCAGGCCCCATTGTGGTAGTAAAAGAAATTTTAACAGAAAAATTTTAAATGAAATTCAAATATAAAAATCCTAGTAATAAACAAGTTAAAGTGGTATTAATGAATTTTTTTAAAATTATATGTGGTGCTGAGGATTGAACCCAGTGCCTCACACATTCCAGGCAAGTTTGCTACCGCTGAGCCACAGCCTCAGCCCATGAATTTTTTTTAATAAGATGAAACATATTATTTACTCATCAGAAAGTCAGTTTGTGAGATAAGAAAGATTATTTGGGGCTGGGTGTGGTGGCACATGCCTGTAATCTCAGTGACTCAGGAGGCTGAGGCTGGGGGATCTCGAAGCCAGCCCCAGCAATTTAGCAAGGCCCTAAGCAACTCAACAAGACCCTATCTCCAATAAAAGATAAAAAAGGGTTGGGGATGTGGCTCAGTGGTTAAGCACCCCTGGGTTTAATTCCTGGTAACCCGCCCCCCCCCCCCATTATTTTGGTACCAGGAATTAATTCAGCTTCTTGTTTATATTTTCAGTTGGCAGTATTGAGAAAATCTTCATTTATACCTTATTTGTGTGATACAGCCATTAAAATCTTTATTGTAATGTAAAAATGTGAGTGTGTAACCGATGTGATTCTGCAATTTGTATTTGGGGTAAAAATGGGAGTTCATAACCCAATTGAGTCAAATGTATGAAAGATGATATATCATGAGCTTTGTAATGTTTTGAACAACCAATAAAAAAAATCTTTATTATAATTCAGGTTTACATTTTTAAAAATTTAAGCATTACAAGAGTATATAGTAGTGTACCTTGCATTCTTCTAGCTTGAAAGAAAAGTCAAAGTTTACTATCAACTTTGTTTTATAATATAAATCTAATTCAAGAACTAAAATCAATAGTAGTAATTGATAGTACAATTTACAGTTAATTTCTCAAGAATTGGTGGTTGTTTGCATCCAGAATCATTGAATTTTTATAAACACTGTTTTTTGTAATTTTTCAGTCCCTGACTTTTTTGCATTTTAGGAGTAATCATAAGAAATGGAATGACTGTGTGGTGAGGTGATATTACTAAGAAAGCTGAGTTTTGGTTCTCTTTTCTATTTTGGTGTAGTGTGAGGTTCATATTATATTATTAGTACTTTTTTTTGAGTCCCCAGATGGTACCATTTCTGCTTCTCTGTGCACAGGTCTCACCATGTTAATGACTTTTAAAGCCTCTGTAACAAATAATAATGAACCTTGCTAAGTAGAGAGGAATAAACAAAACTATGACAACAGAAAACTTGATAGGATATGTAACAGCTTACATGGGAAGAGTTATAGATAAAAAGTATTGTAAGAAATTGAAAAATCTGTTTCTTACTGAGGAAAGTAAATCGACCTTTGAGCCTTAGACCTATCTCCTTTAGAAATTTTTGTCCTTTTTTTATTCCACAGTCTTTATTTGTTTATCAGTTCCATTTGGTTTGTCTGGGTGAAAATTGTGTGGATATGTGTGTGTACACGCATTCATACGTAAGAATATGCTTATTACTATTGTCATGTTATGGCATGTTATAACATGATACTTTCTAATTTGAGAAATAAGTAGAATGCTGTTTAGCCATTGATCTAAATAAAATGTTTAGATTTAAGATAAAGCATTAAGATTAAAGATTACATAAAACATTTTGCCAGCCTTGACTGAAAGATAGCATGATAAACATTATGCATGTTTAATGGGCCTGGCTCAGTTGGTAGAGTGCTTGCCTAGCATGCACAAGGCCCTGGTTCAATCCCCAGCACCACAAAAAAGAAAAAAAAAGAAAGAAAGAAAAAGAAATTAAACATTAGGCATGTTTAAAATAGTACTTTTTTACATTAACCTAGAAATGTATTGACTTACCAACACTGTTAAATCTCTTGTGCAGAGTTCTCTGGTAGCATATACACATATCTCATGCTGCAGAGGGAAAAGGAGACAAATGAGTGGTTCCTAATATCCAGGGACAGTTTTCTGACTTTGATGAGTCCTCCCTTTTAAAATTATTAAAATCAAGCTCTCCTTTAGACCTATAGAACTATTCTTATTTGCAAATCCATACAAAATATTCATTTGCTTTTTTCTTCAAATTAGATAATCAGGATATGAAGCTAGATGGTTTGATGTTAGATTTTAGTGATCCTGAAATATCATTCCAAAATTCCAAAATTCTTTGGAGTTGCCATTGGATGATTCAATTGGTTCAAAATTGGGGTTGTTCTGATCAAAAACATTTTAGGAAGTTTGATGTATTGGGTTGTAATGTGTAGGACTAAATTCATTGAGAAGTTGAAGCTGGAATACTTTTCGGCTTTCTCTATACTGTTTTTTGAAAGGTAGAAGCAGATGGGAAAAAAGAAAATTAATGTTCATTTAACATGGTTGCATTATTTTTTTTTCTATTCTTCCAGGATCCTCTTGTGCATTTATCAGTAGATGTGATAGCAAGAACTTACAACATTTTTGCTATTATGTTTCGTTATGCAGTAGAGATATTAACCTGGGAAAAAGAAAGTGAATTGCCAGCAGATTTGGAGATGGAGTAAGTATAGCCCCTTTATTCTTTGTGTGTAGTCAAAATTGTTAAATTTTTACTTTATACAGGTAGGATAGGACATAATTTTTTTTAATGATTTGATTTTAAGAGAACAAGAGTTTTGATATCATAGTTTTTAAATATGTATAATTCATTTAATTGGTGAAGTTTTCCTCTTGGTTCATGGTTGGTTGGTTAGTTGGTTTATAGTCATTTAAAACTATTTTGAGACTAACTAGTTTCAGACATGGCAGTTTTCTTTCTTTCTTTCTTTCTTTCTTTCTTTCTTTCTTTCTGATGATATGTAAAACTGATAAGTTACTATACAATTCTACTTTTTATTTCCTGTATCATACATCTTAGGGAATGAGCTCTTCAGTGTAAGTGGTTTGAATAAATACTTGCTCAATTTTAATCATTTTGATTCTAATTATAAAATGTATTCCACCCTTATAATGATTTCTTTTTAGCATGCAGCTGCCATTTTTACTTAGATTATTGAGGTAATGGACTTGTGACCAGAGAGCTGGATTCAGCCACCACTGTATTAAGGGGAAGGGCTTACTTTTCCTTGTTAATATGTTTGCCTAAACCTTCTCTTTAATTAAAAAGTGAAACCAAACTTGTTGGAATTGTGTCTGTAGCAAAGGATGAATTCAAGCTGGACACTGGTAGTATTTCTTTTTTGATTTTTTAGTGAGTTTCAGAGAATTGAGCTTGTGGGTAAAGTGTTTTTTAACAAAATGAGTTGTTGCTATAGTGAATTTTTTTGGAAATATTGAAAATTACTTAGTGCCTTTTAACTGTTATCTTCATGAAATTCAGGTTGGGATTAAATGATCTAAGATCTGAGTTTAGAGCCTAGAGAATAGAATAGTTTTTGTTTTATTGTTCAGACCTATCAGCATAGAAGGGAAATGTATATCTGACTTGATTTTCTTTTCTTTTTTTTTTAATATTTATTTTTTAGCTGTAGTTGGACACAATACCTTTATTTTATTTATTTATATATGGTGCTGAGGATCGAACCCAAGGCCCCGCATGTGCCAGGCCAGCGCTCCACCACTGAGCCACAACCCCAGCCCCCCCCCAACTTGATTTTCTTGTAATATTTTCCCTCTTAGTTTTCTTTCATCTACCCATTAACTTAAATCATCCATATCTCTTTAGGTATATCTCCTGTTACAAGTCTTTGATTGTTCGTAAGATGGCAAAAATAAAAATCCATTATTCAAGGTTTTACTTCTCTCCAGACCACACTAATTTCACATCAGTCTCTTCCTTTTTCCTGATTCTCAGCTCCCCAAATTTACCTTTGCCAACTCTATGCCTTTGCTTTCAACATTCCTGTAGTCTAGGGTTTCTCAACTTTGACACTATTGGCATTTGGAACCAGATAAATTATTTGTCAAGAGAACTGTCTGGTAAATTGTAGGATATTTAGCAGCATCTCTGGCATCTGTCCATAAATGCCTATAGCATCCCCAAGCCCAGTCATGACAACCAAAAATGTCCACAAACATTATTGAATGTTAATCTATGGGAGGTGGAGTGGAATTGATAGCAAGAACTTACAACATTTTTGCTATAATGTTTCGTTATGCAGTATAGATATTAACCTGGGAAAAAGAAAGTGAATTGCCAGCAGATTTGGAGATGGAGTCTGACTTTGGGTTTTAGATTGCTTCTTTAGCAATTCTTCTCTGAACTTCCAGACCTATTATATCCTGCTCTAGTATCCTTCTGTTCAGGTCACATACAGTTATACATTCAGTATTTTCTCCACCAAAATGTAAATATAATGACACAGAGCAGAGACTACAAGATGACTTCTTTAATGATACATGCCCAATACTTCTCACATTCTGTAAGGCAGAGTATGCTATTAATATTAATCAGCCTGGAATAACATAATATTCAAATAGATAATCTATCATTAATTTTTTATCCCGCAGAGAAAAGAGCGACACCTACTATTGTATGTTGTTTAATGATGAGGTTCACACCTATGAACAAGTAATATATACTCTCCAGAAAGCTGTTAACTGTACTCAAAAAGAAGCCATTGGTTTTGCAACAACAGTGGATCGAGATGTAAGTGATTTTATCATATTGACATCATATAATAAATTGAACTGCTACTACAGATAACTTACTGCAGAAAATTGGCTTTTTAAAAAATTTCATTTGAATATTGGCCCAAATGTATATTGGTGTAACTGTAAGCAGTTGTCAGAAAGTTTAAAAGGAAATATATAGTTATCTTCATTCTACCTAGTCTTTAAAATATTCATCTATGAAAAGGGAAATTATAAAAACCTAGTAGAATGAATGTTGTGTTGTTCAAAGAAACATATACACTAATGGTTTGAAAAAGGATGTTTTTGAAAGAAAAATTGAATTTACTTATCATTGATGAGTAGAATGAATATTGTAAATATTAAATATTGACTAGCGTTATATGTTCAAACACATTTGTTTATTTACCAGTTTATAAGGTACTAATATTGAATTGAATGTTTTTACAAATTAATTTATTTTTATTTATAGGGACGTAGGTCTGTTCGATATGGAGACTTCCAGTATTGTGAGCAAGCAAAATCAGTAATTGTGGTAAGTAACTTAAAAACATTCCTGTACTATTATTTTTTATTGCCTCCTTAATTTAGTGTTTATGAATAAATTTTTATTCTTTCATGAATATAAAGCCAATGTCAACTAAATCATATTTACAGGTAATGTTTCTTTTGAGTATTACATTATTTTATGTAGTTTGTTTATTTGTTTTGTTTTATATTGTTTTGTTTGGTACCAGGAGTTGAACCCAGGGGCAACTCAACCACTAACCATATCCCCAGCACTTTTTCTTTTTTATTTTGAGACAGGGTCTCATTAAGTTACCTAGGGCCTTGCTAAATTGCTGAGGCTGGCTTGAACTTATGATCCTCCTGCCTCAGCCTCCCAAGATGCTGGGATTACAGATGTGTGCCAACCACACCTGGCTTCATCTAGTTTTTTAAAACTATGTAAGATTGATAATAGAAAATGAAGAGATAGATAAGAAATTTTAGAAGTCTTTTTGCTTTTTGTTTTGTTTTTAAGTAATAGGATTTCCCATTGCCTTTTAGTAATTAAATTGGTCTTTAGCACCAAAATTAGAATTCAGAGAATGGTGCTTCTTGATACATGATAGCAAGATAGTAGCTTAATAGTCTTTACTGTATTATTTTTTAAAGTTTGTTACTTAACTATTCCATGTAACTGCATCTATAGACTTTTTGTTTTTGTTTGGTTTTGTTTCATTTGGTGGTACTGGGAATTAAACCCAGGGGCTCTTTACCACTAAGCTACATCTTTAGTTTTTTACTTTTTGAGACAGAGTTTCATCAAATTGCCCAGGCTGGCCTCAAATATGCAGTTCTCCTGCCTAGCCTCCTGAATAGGTAGGATTACAGTCATGCACTATCACTCCCAACTTAAAAAATAATTTTAGATGTTATAAAGTATTTTAAATACATAGAAAAATAGAAATAACACAGTGAACACCTGTGTTTATTGAAACTTATTTTCTTCTTACTTATTTGAAATAAATAAAAATGTATAGAAGCTCCCATATCATTTCTTCTTAATCCCATTTTCTTTCCTCCTTACATAAAAAGAACTACTTGCATTAATTCACTTTGCTCATTTCTTGTGCTTCATACATTAAACACCTGTCAGTATGATGTATATTGTTGTAGAGGTCTTTAAACATCATTTAAAAAGATTCATACTGAAACTGGGCATGGTGGCTCATACCTGTAATCCCAGTAACTCAGGAGTCCAAGGCAAGAGGATTACAAATTCAAGAGCAGCCTAGGAATCAGGGTAGAATGCCCCTGGGTTCAATCCCCAATACCACATACCTACATGCACGCACATACCTACAAGATTCATGCTAAATGTATTATATTGCAACTTGCCTTATCATATCAGTGTTATTTTTAGATTTTTCTGTTCTGATACATTACTCTAATTCATTCTTTCTTTAACCTTTGTATTCCACTGATGATTTTACCACAATTTTCCATGAGGATGTTTCCAGGTTTGTTTTGCTGTGACAAATACTCCTGCTGTGGAGTATTCTTTTGTCAGATTTTAAAGTATTTGCCAATCTGATGTGTCTAAAATGGTATCTCATGAATTAAATTTTAATTTTTTTTATATTTATTTTTTAGAAGTAGTTAAACACAATACCTTTATTTTATTTATTTATTTCTATGTGGTGCTGAGGATCAAACCCAGGGCCTTGCACATGCTAGACTAGCCTTCTACCGCTGAGCCACAACCCCAGCCCCATTTCTTTAATTTCTAAGTGTCTTATTAAACATAATCAATTTAATAGTGCATCGGAAACTGTCCTATGGTCATTAGAAGAATATTCCCATTCACAGGAAATGCATACTGAAGTATTTATGGATAAAAGGTCATTCTGTGAATGACACCCTCAGTGATTTAAAAAAAAAAAAAAAGTACGAAGAGAAAGATGTGCGGGGCTGGGGATGTGGCTCAGGCGGTAGCGCGCTCGCCTGGCATGCGTGTGGCCCGGGTTCGATCCTCAGCACCACATACAAACAAAGATGTTATGTCCGCCGAAAACTAGGACATAAATATTAAAAATTCTCTCTCTCTCTCTCTCTCTCTCTCTCTCTCTCCTCTCTTTAAAAAAAAGAAAAGAAAGAAAGAAAGATGTGAACAGTTGGGGTAAAATTTATTGCAGATGAGGGCTGGGGTTGTGGTTCAGTGGTGGAGTACTCACCTAGCACGTGCGAGGCCCTGGGTTTGATCCTCAGCATCACATAAAAATAAATAAATAAAATAAAATAAAGGTATTGTGTCCACCTACAACTAAAAAATAAATATTTTAAAAAAAATTTACAGCAGATGAATCTGGAAAACAAAAGGTTATATGGATGTACTTTGCCATTTTATTCATATTGTAAATTGAAATTATTACCAAATAAGAATTTTAGAAAGTGTTCATGCAGTATTGAATGTTATAATACTGTAGTTCTAATGTTCAAAGATACTCTTAAATGGGAGTGGTAATGATTTTGGACTATTTTCAGGAATGAGAATGTTAAGATTTAGAGACAAAGTTCTTTCCTTAATTTTGTTATTTTTTTCTTTCACATTTGTCACTTCATATCTCCTTATACATTGAATAATATTTTTTAATTTTTCCTTTTTAAAAAAATCAGTATTTGTAATCCTTGGTGGTGTTTGCATGGGATTAGACAGATACATTAGAGTGATATAGAATACAGAGTTCAGAAATACTCATCTGAGGAAAACCTAAACAACTACAAGGGAGAGTGCTTCTTAACCAAAATTAGAACCCCAGGAATTAGAAAAGAAATTGCACATTTTGGGGCTACATAAAAAAAAAAAATCATGACAAAATATTGCATAAACAAAGTCAACAGACAAATCGCAGATTTGAGGAAAGTACAGAATAATTGAATTAAAAAAATGGACAAAAGATAACAAAACAGATCACAACAGAAAATCTTAGGCAGCCAGTATACATGAAAAGAATCTTTAATTCATTAGTAATCAATAAAATAGGAACTTTTAAAAAATATTTTTTTAATTGTAGGTGGACACAATACCTTCACTTTATTTTGATGCGGTACAGAGGATCGAACCCAGTGCCTCCCATGTGCTAGGCGAGCACTCTACCACCGAGCCACAACTCCAGCCCTAAAATAGGAACATTTTATACACATCAAAGTGAAATTAGAGTAATAAAATATCTTTGCAGAGAATAGGAATACACATATAAAAACAGTCTAGTAACTTTTGACTAAAGCTTTACGTCTCCTAGGAATTTATCCCTTATACATACCTGTAAGTACGTTAATAAATATAGTGTGCATATAGAATATATGTACATGGAAAAAATATGCAAAGGCATATCATGTTAATATAGTTAATAGGATGAAGCAGGATTTGAAATGAGGATTCAAAAAATGAAAAGGGGTAAAAAGGTGTTTTTTAAAAAATGTTTGCTAGACTTGAATAAACATTTCTACCAAGAAAATATAAGCACATGAAAACATGTTTAACATCACTAATCATTAGGGAAATGCAAATCAAAATCTCAGTGAGATATTGAGTTGCCACATTATGCCTGTTAGGATGACTTCTCTCCAGAAAGAAAAATATTGACAAGGATATAGAAAAATTGAAACCCTTGTGGATTGCTCATGGGAATGTGAAATGGTGGTAGCCACTATGGAAAACAATGTAGCAAGTCTTTACAAAGATAAAAATAGAATTACCACATGATTAGGCAGTTTTGCTTCTGGGCATATACACAGAAGAATTGAAAGCAGGGTCTCAGAAATTTGTATAGTCCGAGTGTCTGTTACCAGATGAATAAAGAAACAAAATGTAGCATAACATACAGTAGAATATTGTTTGGCCTTAAAAATGAAGGCAATTCGAAATATGCTACAACATGGGCAACCCCTGGGGACATTAGGCAAAGTAAAATAAGTAACAGATAAATACTGTATGATTCTACCCTATATGAGGTACCTAGTATAGTCAAATTCATAGAGACAGAAAAGTAGAATGATAATTACTAGAGAAGGGAGCCATTGGGACTTGTTTAATAAATAAAATGTTTGAGTTTTGCAAGATGAAGAGTTCTGAAGATTTATTTTATATACTGAACAATATTGAATTATACACTTAAAGTGGTTGTGATAAATTTTGTTATATGTATTTTTCCATGATTTTAAAGTATTAATAGCATAATCACATCTATGTAATGAAGTAAATTATTAAATTAAGTAATGTAAATTATATTAAGAAATTAAAGACATAAAACAAGTTTAAGCATTTAAATAATTTATAACTGGTACCACAGATCTTAAGATATATGACTAAAGATTCAGGTTACTCACAGGCCGGGTCTTCTTACCTTTTTGTGTGAATCCTAGAATTCCTTCTAGAAAATTAGGATCTGAATGAAGTAAAGCAATCAAAGCAGTGCTTTTCTACTCGAAAAACTCCTTTGATGATGATGGTGGTTTGGTTATATTAAGTGAAATGTTAACTTTTTTCTTCTGATAAAATAGACTTTTTAAGTTAGTTTTTTCATCTTGCTATTTCTTTTTAAGAGAAATACCAGTAGACAGACAAAGCCACTCAAAGTTCAAGTTATGCATTCGTCTATTGTTGCACATCAGAATTTTGGTTTGAAACTTTTGTCTTGGCTGGGAAGTATTATTGGATATTCAGGTAAGTTCATAAAAGCTTGCACTAATAAATTATTAAAAAATGAGCTCATATGTCCTTGCAAAACTTTTTGGAAAAAAGATCAAGTGGAATCATTGCTTTAATTTCACATTTTAAAATACCATTTCAGGATATCTTTTTACAGAGAAAACCTGAGTTTACCTAATTTTGTCCCACAAGGGATTTTTCACTTCAAATAATACAGGGAACAATGGGCTAAACAATTATGAACAATTTTAAGATGCTAATACAATATAAATCTCAATAACTTGCTATAAGAACCTTTTGAGAAATGGAGCATCCTGTAGAACTCTTCATAAGCTAGTAAGCTGGAAGATGCTGCTGTAAATAAAACCCAATGGTAGGCAGTTTAAATGGTAAAACACTAGTATTAGTATCTTTGTTTTGACTCCGACAATTTTTGGTTAGCAATAATTTGCTACTCTGAAAATTTGCAAATTGAGAGTTACTGATTTGTATTTTTGCTTTGTCTTGTTTGCTTTTCTGCAGTTCACAAATTAGATAATTTAATGGTAACAATAATGAACCCTCAAGTTCAAAGCCAAAAATAAGTTTGGTGTATAACACCAAAATAATAAATAGGGATAAATAAATAAAATAAAAAATAAATAAATAAATAGGGATAAATAAATAAAATAAAAAATAAATAGGGATAGATCTAAGCTACCTGTCATATTACTATTTAGCCAAGGCTATTGATAAATGACATCTCAGTGTTACATTAGAGAAAATAACTAAAATAGTAATACCAAAGGCTTTTAGAGCATTGCCACACTGCAAACTGACAGTTGCAAATATGGAGGTGCAGAAGTTTAGGAGAACATTTTTACTTGCTTTGCCTAGAAAATGTCTTCCCAATTTTTCTTGGCCCCATATTCTTTAGTTTTGGTTTTCTTCATTTGTTACCTATATGCCAAGTACTGTGCTGTGGTATTAATGAATAGTATCATGAAAGTAATTTTGTGCTGAAAATTTTCTTTGAGACATTTATCATCAATAACTTTTAAATGCCTAAATATTTAAATCTTATATGAGATTTTGTCTTTAGGCTTTTAAATGATTTCTGACAGCTTTTATAATAAAAATTCCATTTTTAAAAATTTTGCATGCTTGAAGACTAAAAGTAGATATTTGAATTGTACAGTATGGAACAAAATATGATAAGTTTTAGTTATTTTAAGGCTTATATTCATATTTGAAGAACTTTTCTAAAGTTTAGCGTTTAGAAGATATTGGAATTTGTCATCTAGGGCCTTTCATTATGGTAGATCCATAGTGAATTTTTGTTTAACAAATGAACATTTTGTGTAGCAACTCTGAAAATTTGTGGTATATATTATAGTCCAGAAGTCATATCCCTTCTTTTTAAATGTTAGCGCAATTTTATATTATACCTATCTTCAGTTATTTTGGAGTATATAGCCATTTGATTATCATCTGCTTTAATTAACATAAGTGCTTAAAGAACAATATTTAATAGAAGTATGTATTATATATATGTAATAATATAAGTATGCACTATCAGTTGTTTTGTGGTGTTTTTCTCTAATTCATTAAAAGAGTTGTATATAATGTGAGATTTCACTTTTTTTCCTTTTTGTAAAAACAATAGTTATTGTTCACTTTTTCTAAGTAAATTTGACCTTTAATAAGACACATAACTATATATATCTATTTGAACATGTACTAAAATGTCACTTTATAATATTTGAAGTAGCCATCTCATGTTTGCTGTTCCTCCTATTTAAAGATGGCCTTCGCCGGATTTTATGTCAAGTTGGATTACAGGAAGGACCATATGGTGAAAACTCTTGTCTGGTGGATAGACTGATGCTTAGTGATTCCAAATTATGGAAAGGTGAATCTCTTAACTACTTTTAAGGTATAAAGGGTTGGGATGTTAAAGGTCTTTTCATTTTCAAATTAGCATTGTAGGACCTGTATGTAGTATAGCCCAGTGGTGGAATAAGTATGTATGTAGCATGTGTGAGGCCCTGGGTTCATTCCCCAATACTTAAAAAAAAAAAAAAAAAAAAAAAAGTAGGGGCGGGAGTACAGTCTTAACCTTTGGGAAAAACAGCAACATTTTTGGTCTATGATGCAAATTAAATAACCTTATATTTTGTTAGAAAATTATATTTAGAAAACATAATTTTCTTAGCACAAAATCTGTACTAAGAAAAACATGTAGACTTTTGTTCTTGGGAGTTTTAGAAGACAATCACATAAAAACTTTAAAGTAATTTTTGGCTTCTTGGGTATAGCAATATCTTACACCTACTCTTTTTCTAAAGGTGCTAGGAGTGTATATCATCAATTATTCATGAGCAGCCTACTTATGGATTTGAAATACAAGAAACTATTTGCCATTCGATTTGCAAAAGTAAGTGTTTTCTGAGTTTTGAAGATTAATGAAATAGGTTATATAAAGGATAAGTATAGCCTAAAATTATTTCAAAACTCAAAAAAATTCGCATCTACTCATAATACATCAACATATTGATTTATCTTTTATCAATAAAATAAAGTTACAGTAGTAAAACATTTAACATCTCCCTTGATAACATAAATATCCATCTATGTAGTATTTGTTAAATACAAAGTGATAAAGGAAGAATTAAATCTGTGCCATTGTGAATTATGCATTGGTCCTATTAAGGAAACAATAATCTTGGTTGAAACAATATGCATATAAGACTTAGGAATTATGAACTCAGTGGTTGATAAAGGTTAAGTTCTTCCTTTCAGCAACATTTGATTAAACTAACCACATATTTTTCTATTCCCCTGAATTAGGAGTTCTTAATTAAGGGAGTATGTAAGAATTATTTGGAGAGCTCTTTCAAAATACATGTGTTTATGTTCCATTCTCAAATCTATTGAAGCAGCTTCACCAAGAGTGGGGCCCAAGCATGTGTACTTTGCAGGAGTCATCAAATGATTCTAATACACATCCAGAAGTAATGAAAATCGGTTTTCATGAAAGACTTTGTTATGTTACTGTATTTGGCCCCACCAGTTAAAATATCATCCTAGGATTTGAATAAACAACTTTGGGCTCCAGAAAAATCACTGTTTATACAAGATTCCACAGGTTTTAGTGAATCAATATTTATACAGGATTTAATTGGTAGAAATTATTCCAGTTGTTGTTCTCATAGCAGTGTTATCCTATTGAGTTATCCAGCACTGACTTCATTATAATCCTTAACCCTTTGGTCAATGTGGATTAGAGGTGAATCTCCCCCTTGTTGTTTAGAATTACCAGCAGTTGCAGAGAGATTTTATGGAGGATGATCACGAGCGAGCAGTGTCGGTGACTGCTCTGTCTGTCCAGTTCTTCACTGCACCTACTCTGGTGAGTAGTGCTTGCCTTTTCTTTGTAACTGATAGCTGGCACTCCTTGCCTTTTTTTGCCTTCTTAATAGAACTATGAGCGTTTGCAGAGTGATTATGTGACAGATGACCACGACAGAGAGTTTTCAATCGCAGACCTCTCGGTTCAGATATTCACAGTTCCTTCACTTGTAAGTACTGAAAGACTAGAAGAACTTTCTTGTTTTAACTAACAGATATAAAGCTTTAAAATAATAGAAAACTAAGATCTGTGTGTTCCTGAATAGAGTAATATTTTACTAATAGGCAGTTGGACTCCAGACACCTTCAACTACACTAGAACATATCCTTGAATATTAAGTAATTCTGGGGGAAAGTCACTGAAACTCAATCCATACTTTCTCAAAGTACTTTCCGGAGATTTTGAACTAAAAGTTAACATTAAACTAATTGGTTTATCAAATTTATACTTGACATTAGAATCAGAAAGCATGTTGTGTACCATCTCATTTTGTGAAATTTTCCTACTCACCTATTCCTCCCCATAAAGAAAGGGTAGGGAAGGGAAGAATAGAAGTTCATTGGATTAGACAAAGGGGAATGAAGGAAGGGGTGCGAGAGTAGGAAAGATAGTAGAATGAACCAGACATAACTTCACTATGCTCATATATGAATACAGGACCAGTGTGATTCCACATAATGTACAATCACAAGAATGGTATCCTAATTAGAATAAGTTATACTCCATGTATGTAAAATTAGTCAAAATATACTCTACTGTCATATATATCTAAAAAGAATAAATAAATAAATAAAAAGAAAGAAAGGAGTGACTAAAGCAATTGAATCATGATTGGGTGGTCTTTTATTAAGCTTCACTACGTGCTCCTAAAGCCATCATTATGTTTTAGTACACATAGTAATTTAAAATTATGTTTTTTATTCAATAAATTTGTTGAGCACCTATTATTTATTGGGCACATAAAACTAAAAATGCAATGGTGAACAAAGACAGATGTGATTCTTGCCCCTACTTAATGGGAAAGAGTCACCCAAGTAGGTAATTATTTTCTAATGAAAATTCTGAAGAATTTGGTATCTTTGAGAGAGAGGGGTTGCTCACTGGTAGAGTGTTTACTTAGCACCACCATTGGGAGGGGAAAAAAAAAAAAAAAACAGCAAGATCTGAGCTTCTTCCACAACTCAGAGAAGAAGATCTCTGTGGGGACTTGAGGGAAGGTTCATGTGGAGGTACTAGCACTTGAGAACCTGAGGCAGGGAGAGGAAACAGGAAAGCCACTGCACTTAAAGATTCTTGAACATGGAGTGAAATTGTATAGGTTTAAGAGTGTTTTACAGTTCCTTTACTAACAAGGCTTGTTTTCCAGATTTAAAAATGTCTTTTCTGCCCCATATTGCTTTTTGTTAAAGAATATGTTCTAGTAAAGGATATATTGTAGTATTGCTATTATTATAGGCTAAATTAAGGGATTTGGTTTTTATCTTAAGATCACAGGAGGGCCATGAAGAATTGTTGTGATTCTTTTGTTTGTGGTGCTGGGGATCGAACCCAGGGCCAGGCACATGTTAGGAATGCACTCTACCACTGAGCTATATCTCCAGTCCCAATGAAGAGTTTTGATCATCACATTAGTGATTTTAAAAGATCATGCTGTTTGTAATTTAGGGAACAAATTTGAGAGATCAAAAGTGAGTGTGGTGGGGCTGGAGCTAGGGCTCAGCGGTAGTGCACTTGCCTGGCATGTGTGAGGCACTGGGTTTAATTCTCAGCACCACATAAAATAAATAAAGGTCTATCAACAACTTAAAAATTTTTTTTTAATTTTTAAAAAATTAAAAAAAAAAAAAGTGAGTGTGGGGAACCTAATTAGAAGCTAATGCAATGATCCAGACAAGAATTGATGTTAACTGGAACCAGGGTGCTAACAGTGGATATAAGATATTTTTAGGTAGTAAAATATACAGAACTAGTCAAGTGGGTTTAAAGAATGTTGGATTTGGTGACTGATCAGCTATTGAGATTGAAGGAGAAGTATAAGGATGACTCGGAGGTTTTTGATGTAAAACTGAGTGGAATTTCTAGACATAAGGTATTACATAAAATTCTATTTATTTTTCTCCTCACTACACTTACTGCTTTAAAGGACTTAGTATCGAGACCCTGGGGCTAGTGGAAAGTATGGGAGACTGATAATAGTAGTATATTCAGAATGGCCTCACCCTCTGACACCATCTTGATGTCCCTGATTCAGATCTGTTTCTGGAATCTCCCTTCCATGGATTAGTACTATCTTATTACCTCCATTGGCTTCACAGACACATCTAAATTCTAGGGTTGCCATAATTCAGGTTCTGAAGTTTAGAATCCTGATACTTAAATGCTTCAGTAAGTAGAGTTAGCCAGGGCTGGGGTTGTAGCTCAGTGGTGGAACACTTGTCTAGCACGTATAAGGCACTGGATTTGATCCTCAGCACTATATTAAAAAATAAATAAATAAAAACACTGTGTCCATCTACAACTAAAAAATAATAATAATTAGAGTTAGGTAGTTCAGGATAAATAGCCAGCCTATTTTAAAATTGTTTTAGTTGGATAAATAATTTTACTTTTGAACTCACCTATTTTCTGCCCCAGGATAAAATAAAAAATTAAAATTCAAAGCCAATGGCAAAAACGTAACAATTCCAAACACACACACACAAAAAAATGTTAGCGAAAGTAACATCCTCTCAGTGGAAATATTCAAACAGAGCTCAACACTCATATGTGGGATGTTAGGGAAATAATCCTGTATGAAGGTAAGGTAGAAGTGTGGACTGAGTATCCACTAAAGTTCTTATCTATGTTGCTTTAATGCCTCCTGGGCGATTCTACTACTGTGTTAATATCTTTGACAAGATAAATAAAATTAATGAGACTAGCAGGGGTGAAAAGAGAGACCAGAGGTACACAAGTGAAAATACAGACCGGGAAACATGTTATAATGCTCCATTGTCAAGAATTGGTTTGGTTCTGTCTTCAGTTTTCTCTGAGGGATTACCTAACATTGCTAAAAGATATTTAGTAACCATTATTTTACCCAGTAAATAAATACTAAAGATACCTAATAAATATAAAGTAAATGAATCCAGAGAATTGCCACTTCCCATTTATTTACTACCTTATACTGTCAAACTTTTAAGTGTTCATTTGCTTTGCCTCTCTAAATGCAGGATAAGGCTTATGATTTGCTCTGTTTTATGGCCCTCAGGGATTCCAGCTCTTGACTCAACCATAAAAGATGCTCAGTGAATAAATGGTATTTTATCTGGGGATGGTGGGGCATGCCTATAAATCCCAGCAGCTCAGGAGGCTAAGACAGGAGAATAGGAAATTTAGAGCCAGCCTAAGCAACTTATATAGTCTCTGTGTGTGTACCCACACAGGTGCATGTATGGTTAATGCAACAAATACATTCATTGGTAAAAGAAGAAGAAAAAATTTATATCATTGATCTATCAATATAGCTAATTATATTTGTTGGTTTTTCTACTTTTGAAGCATGCTGATACTGTATTACAAATGTTACATGGCCACAGTGCATTCTTTGAATACACTGCTAAGCCCAGTTTGAAAGTATTTTATTTAGAGTTTTTGCTTATATATTCACAAGTTAAGTAGGTCAGTTTCCCTCCTGTGTGTATGTTTTAATTAGATTTTAGCCTTGTAAAATAAATGGGATATATGTCTTATCTTTATATTCCAGGAAAAATTAACAGAATTACCTAGGTTGTGGTTGTTGTTGAATATTTAATCTAAACTTAGAATGTTTGGGAGGTTAAATCTTAGAAATATTCTTCAAGCTTTATTTGTGAGCCAATTTTCATAATTATATACTTCTTTAGTAACAGATCCTCTCCTTTACCCCTAACTTAGTGTCACTTACATACTTAGTATTCTTCTCTACTCTAGGACAGTGGGCATGCTTCCAAATCACTCTGGAACTATTGAAAGTAGTTTTATGCTGCCTTTTCCCTTCCCATTCTTCCCGGAGTCATAGACTGTAGAGATGGGGCCTAGGCATTTGCAGTTGTTTGGTTTGGGATTTTGACTTAATTGAGATAGAGTATATACAGAAAAGTAAACCCTTGGTAACTCTACAGCCCAATAAGTTTTCACTTAGTAGACCCACCCATGTTTATCAGCATTCGAGAGTTAGATTTTTTGTGTACATAGTCTTATCAGCTATGAAGGAGGCAGTTTTAGTTCTTATTTCCCAATCTTTATATCATTTTTGTTTTCTTTATTATACTGACCGGAGCCTCCAGTACAATATTGAATACAAATGGTGATAAAAAGCAGGAATCTTGGTCTCATTTCTCATCTTAGGGGAAAATACTTTTAATATTTCATCATAAGATATAATGCTTTGGGGTTTTGTTTGTAAGATATAATGCTTTGGGGTTTTGTTTGGTTGGTTGCTTATAGATACTCTTAATTAAAGAAATTCCCCTTTATTCATTGTCCTGTGAGATATTTTTGTTTGTTTGTTTTTAAATGGTGAATAGAGGACTTGGGATATAGCTCAGTTGGTAAAGTGCTTGCCTCCCATGCGCAAGGCTCTGGGTTTAATCCTCAGCAACACACACACACACACACACACACACACACACACACACAAATGTGAATAGATATATAATTTTTGTGAATTCAAGAAAATGATTCGATAATGTGACCATGTAAATTATTTTTCTCCTTTTGTCTTTTAAGGTGATTTTATGTTAATTGATTTTTTTCAAATGTCTTATTATTATTGCATTAGGAAATAAGACAAATGTGATTGTGATTTCTTATTCTTTTTTCTATATTGCTTGATTCCTTTTATATGCTACTGTGAGAGAGATTAGATATAAATTTTCTTTTCTTGTAATGACCTTTTTGGGGTTTGTTACCAGGATTATGGAGGAGTTGAGAAGTGCTGGGGAGTGACATTGGCCAAATTATGTTATTATATTGTGTGTATATATGAATATGTAACAACAAATCCCATCATTATGTACAACTATAATGTACCAATAAAAAAATGTGGGGGCAAAAAGAATATGGATAACTCGTTCATTAAATTGACATATATTTTATTTTTTGGAAAAGTTTATGTAAGATAAGTTATTGTGTTTTTAACTATAGAGA